GTTGGTACTTATAAGTTACTGAGTGGCATGTATGAGAAGTTGCCTGGCACAAGGGTGGATGTAACACCTACTCAAGTGAACCCTGAGGCAAGTGTCCTGACCTAGGAATGTGCCAAGACCTCTGGGCAAGACGGGCGAGGCCCTTCTCTGGCTGCACCCAGCACGTAGCCTGTTACACGGTCCACTGCAGGAGAGCCCAGTGCTATTCCTCCTCTGTGTTCCTGTGAGCCCAACATCATGCTCCGTGCTACCGGCCTAAGCAAATACTTACTGCTTCTGTACACGGTTGTGCTCAATAAGGTCACTGAGAGAGGCTCCAGAAGGGAATACTAACTGCACGTTGAAGTGAGCCCTGCTCTTTCCACTGATGAGTTTTGGCAGCTGAAACTAAAATCGGTGGCCTGCAGTGGTCTGAGATAGTCATGCGAGGTCTGTTTATAGCCAGGTGTTCACAGGGTAGGATTCAAAGGGAGGGAGAGGCAGCGGCAGGCAGACAGATGAATTTTCTTTTCCTTAAAAATGGTTAAACTGAATCGATTTACATTCCTCCTTTTTGCAAATCTCAGGTTTGAGATAATTTACAATGACGTTAATAAATGATTAGGTCCAAAGAAAGGAGGAGCAAAAAAATGCTGATCAGAGGGTTTACACAATTGCTGTGACTGTGCAGTGCTTGGCTTTTGAGCTTCCTGGCAGCCAGGACAAAAAGAAACAAGCTATGTCTCTCAGCTGTAAGCTTCTTCTGGGACACAGACATTGTCGTAGATCTAAATTTTAAAGGGAATCCCTCAGGATTCTTGAGGGAGTTCACAGAATGAGGAATTAAAAATGTATTTGTAACTGGAAAAGGTGGTGAAATTGGAGGAGGGGGGAAAAGAGAGAGAGAGGTACCAAGATAAGGGTTTGAGTCCAGGTTTTCTTCAAGAGGCTGCCTCTTCTGGGCAGTGGAGCCACTCTAGACCTCTAAACATCTGAAGCATTTCAGGAACAAAGAAAGCTCCTTTGATGACATTATGCAACCTCAGAGCGGGCAAGGAGAGGGCATCCTGAGATCAAACACCAGTCTGACTTGGGCTCCTGCCCACGTCCATGCCGCCTCCAGGCCAGCCCACCTGCCAAGTGAGGCACCTGCCCCTCTGTCCCTCTGTCCCCTGCCCTCTCTTTATAGCCCTATCCCTTTTACCCCATTTCCCAAATGGGAGTTTTACCTCTGAGGGGGCTGCTTACACATTTCCCTCTTCCCTTTTCTGCTCAAGCTCTACATGGGCCCCATTTACTTCTGTGTTGGAGTAAATGTTTGCTCAATGGTCCAGAAAGCTGTGGTGGTTGCAATTGTTCCGATGTTACATTGAGAACAACAATTTCAGAGCTGGAAGTAGTACAGTAACTGTTTGGGGGAGACTATAAGAGATTTTTTCTTTTCTAATAATACTAACAAACCAAAATGATACACAATGCATACATTGTTATACATTATTTATAATCTTAGGATGTAAGTTTTTCTGAAAAATTTGTATGCAACATGAATTCTTGAGATTCAAACACGATCACCCTGTTAGGGAACTCTTTGCAATCCTGCAGTGATGCCCTTCTAAAAACATACTCTCCCTGCAGGGTTAACAAGGAACCCTAACTGATCTGCCTTCACTGTGAGATCTGGGCTCCCAACTCTGCCCCTTGGAAGCCCAGGGTGCCCCAGGGGCTCCCACCTCTGCAGCTCCACCTCTCTCTGTTTTACACACTGGGTTTTGCATCAGGTGTCATTTGCTGGGAGTGGAGAGAGGCAGGTGGCAGTATAAAGAGCCTGAGATGCGGCACATCTGTTGGACATACTTTGAGTTGCTCCCCTAAGTAATGGTAGAGATTTGACAAATGCTTCACTTTTTTGCTGTTTTCTTTGGGGCCACCAGCAAAAGACACCCATGAGAAGCTGACTGGCATTGGGATATAGTCTGGCTTCCCCTTATTTGGAACTGGAAGCTGAGCAACACACCACAGTGAGAATTATTCTCTCCAGACTGAGGGGGTCTCTGGAGAGGCCATGTGAGTCAATGTGGGGGTAACAGAACATACACAAGGGCAGCAAGAACGCCAGGATGGAAGGTTCTCTCACCCCTACTTAACATCCAGTTCCCTGATTCACATGCCCTCTAGAAATCAATGACCTCCACACTCCACTCTCTGATCCTGACTCTCCAGCAGCCCCAAACCTGGCTATCTACTGCCCATCTGATGTCTCTGCTTACATGTAATATAGACACAGTTTGGCCAGAACAAAAGCCTGATTTCTCTCCAAAATCTGTTCTCCCCAGATTCAATAAATGGTACCAGCGAGGGCCGGCCCCATGGCTTAGCGGTTAAGTGCTCGTGCTCCGCTGCTGGCGACCCAGGGTTTGGATTCTGGGCGCGCACCGACGCACCGCTTGTCCGGCCATGCTGAGGCCGCGTCCCACATACAGCAACTAGAAGGAGGTGCAACTATGACAGACAACTATCTACTGGGGCTTTGGGGGAAAAAAATAAATAAATAAAATTATAAAAAAAAAATGGTACCAGCGAATCTCCCTCCTCTATTCTGCCAGCTCTTCTGAATGGCGGTTCTCAGATCTGGCAGAACATGAGACACCTGGAAGTTTTAAAGCACCCCAGTACCCAGGGCTCCCCCTTGCCCAATTACAGTAGAATCTCTGGGGGTGGGGCCCAGGTATCAGCACTTTTTGAAAGCTCCCCAAAGGATTCTAATGTACAGCCAGGCTTGAGAATTGGTGGCTTAAAATAGACTCTAAATCCAACAGCTTCTCTCCAGCTTCACTGCTCCCACTGTGGTCTGAGCCACCACCATGGCTTGTATGGACCACTGCAATAACTCTCATCTTCCTGCTTTTACTTCTCTACCTCAAACCCCCATCACAAGCACAAGGCATTGTCTTTTTAAAAATCAGGTCACATCACGCCTCTCTAATGGCTGCCCACTGCATTTAGAATATAGACCAAAGTTCTCACGAGGCCTACAAAGCCCTGCCTGATCTGGCTTCTGCAGCCCTCTCCACCTCTTCTAGCTCCTCCTGCCCCGACTCACCATGCTTCGGTCACTCTGGTCTTAGTCCTGTTTCTCAAACATGCCAAGCACCCTCCTACCTCTGGGACTTTGTACCTACTCTCTCCTCTGCCTGGAATGCTCTGTCCTCAGATCTTCACCTGTCTGACTTGCAGCTTCACGTCATTCAGGTCTCAGCTCAAACGGCATCGCCTCAGAGAGGCCTTCTCAGATCTCCTTGATCCAAAGTAGTCCCCTTCGCCTCCCAAAAATCACATTATCTGGATCACTCTTTTGTGTAAAATCCTCAGGGGCTCTAGACCGTTCCCCATCATCCAACCCCTATCCTACTTCTTTGGCCCCCCACCCACGCCACCAACCCAGACCTATTCTCCTAAGTTCCCACCATTCCAAAGAACTCCTGGTTGCCTAGAGGAGCCACACTCCTGCATTCCTGTGACTTTGTGCATGCTGTTCCCTCTGCCTGGAATGTCGTCAATGTCTTCCTGCCCTACCACCCTCCACTTCCCCTGCCCACATGCACTGCTGACAAGGACTGGCTTGTCAGTCCTCCTCCAAGTAGTCACCCTGTGTAGATTGGTTAACATCCCCTCCCTTGTTCTTCCACAGCAACCCATGCTTCCTTCTGCCATAGCCTTCATCACACGGGGCTAGCCTCACCTGTCTTCTCCCCTAGATAGAGGGCACCTTGAGGGTAGGAATAGTGCCTAGGTCTTAGCAGACACTAAATTATAAGCTGAGCAAAATAATGTCTTTTACTTCTGTATCCCCAATAGTAAGAAAATCACAAAAATTTCTGAATAAACCCTTAACTTGTTTCTAGTATGATCAAGTTGATGCTACTGGGAAAACTCTTTCACATCCTTATGTTTTGAGGCACTTACAATCATAACCATGTACTTCATTTCCTTCAGGTGACAGCTGTTCAATGATCCCACAAGTGGCACTAACACCAGGCCAACAGGCCCCTGCCTGCCGGTGTGTCTCCCCAGGCATGTGCAGGAAAAGAGGCGCTGTCTGGACTGGCTGCTGACATGTACTTGAGCTGGGAAAGCTGCTTTCCCTTGGCACGGACTAACAATCCACCATCTGAGCCAGTAGGAAATGGAGCCCTTCGAGAAGGGAACTAGTGCAGGACCCACATCTTTACTGCGCCTTCCCTGGGGCTCACAGAAATGAAATCTGTGTGGCCAGTACCACTGCCATTAGCAGCGCTTTCCCTTTCTTAATTTAAACACACTCGTCCCATATACTGAAACAATTAAGCCACATGAGGTCTTTACCTGTCTTGCTTTTCCCATACAAGATAATGAACAGGAACAGAGGATTTAATACCAGGGTACACAACATTCAATAGCCACTTGCACAGCTTGGTATATTTAGCTACGTCATCGGCAGAATACCACTGCTTTACCCACAGATATTCACCAAAAGGAACTTGCTGCAGCCTGAAACAGGCTTGTCCAGCTTTTTAGGAAAAGATGAGCTTTGCCCAAACAAAGTGAAGGCCATTTCTGTGCAGGTTCCTGGAATTGGATAGGCTTTAATTTCAAATGCACCTAGCTCCAGTGCTGTCTTTGCTGGGAAGCCCCACCCTGACCCAACCCCACAGCATGCTTTCCCTCCAATCATCTGGCCATAGTCTCCATGTTACCTGACTATACCTTTCTAAATAGAGGCTAGGTTTCCCCTAGGCCAAACCTCTCCCATAGCAGGCTCAATTAATGTATATACCAACGTACACATATTATCATTCAACCAAGACAAGCAGTCTGTGGCACAGATGGTGTCCCCTCAGTGAGGCCAAGTCCACTTTCCCACCCCAGCCCTGGCGCTCCTGTTCTCCACATTCCCAAGGTCTGGGGGAACATGCAGGCTGCGGCCATGCCAGGGCCAGAGGAGGAGAGTGTGGGCGGGTCAAAACAAGCCCAGACATACTCACGGGGTCCGTCAGCATGGCCCGGCAGTGGGAAGCCAGGGCCAAGAAGGCCAGCAGGTTGAACACAATTCCATTGATGATGCTGTACACGTAGTCTCGGGATGGAATCAGCATAACAAAGAGGACCACAAACTCCGCATAGAGGACCAGAAACCAGGTGACAATGGCACAGGCAATGCCACAACCATCCCGGATAAACCACATGGTTCCCACAGCACTGGGGTGGGGAGGTGGGACGCACTTCTCCGGCTGGAGGTATTCTGGCTTCCGCTCAATGTTTCGGAAGTGGTGGGCGGGGATAAGCATCATAAGCTATTCTGTCCATACTGGCATCTGGAAGAGAGAGGAAAGAACCCAGAAATTTGGTGTTGTCTTGTCATCAAGGAGACTTGACAAAATTACCTTTCCAAAGTAAGTCATGAGTATCTATGTGTGAACCTCTTGCAGAAAAGCTGCCTAAACCTTCTGTTCATTTAAAATGTGAGTTCTCTTCCCTGGTCCTGAGAGTTAACTTAGCCTTTGTGAAATGGGGCCACCTTGCTCAAAGCCTTCACATGACAGATAATGAAAAGACAGCCTTCAAAGGGCAAACGCCTTGCCCAAGGTCAGCCAGGGTGGTGGCAGCACACACAGCAACCAACTTAGAGGTGGGACTAGAACCTACGATTCCTCTTTGACAGAGGATCTACTGGGCAGACAGTGTCTCAACAGATACATTCAAATTTTGACCTAAAACACAAAGGGGCAAGGGGCGGAGTACCAAGCCCTCTGGGAAAACTCTCTTCAGCAGTAACACTGCTGCCTCTGCACCATGGACAAACCCAGAGACAGATGTTGAGGCTGTGGGATTAACAAGGATGAGTAGGAGGAAAATAGTGGTTACCTGGGACTAGCGTTAAGCTGCAACCATTAAGACATTATAACTTACTGTACTGTGTGAGCTGATGATAAAGGCAAAACAGTCCCTAGGATGGGGAAAGTTCCTGAAACAAGCCAGCCTTGTCAGTCCTATGGCCAAAATGGTTTATTTTCCAGAGACAAGAGGCTCTCTGAGTTCTGCTCTCCTTGTGGGTGATGGGGCAAACTGTAGAAATGTTGGACAATGAGTCCAAAGATGTTTCCCCACACCTGGCTGTGCGACTCTGTGAGTTTTTGGCTCCCAACCTGTGAAAACACCCACATTCCAGCACCAGCCACCTCCTCACAGGTTGGTGTGAGGGTCAAGGGAGCTCCTGATGAATGCTGTAGACTGTAACACTCTGTACACGTCACAGACGGCACACACGTGTTCTCTCTAGGAAAGACATCCATTCCTTCAGAAACAAGCGCTGAGCAACGCACCCTTTCTTCCCAACAGCTGCAGCTCGAGTCTTTGGAGACAGCAATGAAATAACTAAGAATCAATAACTAAAGCCTATCTGTCCACAGCATGCAATGCCAGACACAGCGAGCTCAGATTTACCTCCTCTATTTCTTTATCTTAAACTCTGTGGCCTTTTGCATCATCAATCAGGTTTCTCAGCAACTCTGATGGTTCAAGTTCACCATTAGATGTAGGTGCTGTGATAAAGCCACCCATAGCACAGTCTACAGCACAGCAAGTGACATTTCAGTCTGCCGAGAACTCAAATCACTTCATAATAGAGGAAATCACTCAAAAGCAGCCCTGGCTATGTATGTTTTTCTGAAGACTGTGGCTCTAAAGGGCAAGGGCAAGCTTTCAAAGGCTGAGTTGGGTTCTCCTCACCCTTTTGCCCAATGTTCCTTCTTCTTCCACTGCCCTCACCCCCAACAAAGAAAGGGCACCTACACTGAATACAGTACAGTCATGAAAAGTAAGGATGTGTCCAAAAAGCTAAGAGGGCAGAGCAGGAACTACTACTCAAAACGACATATTCTAGAGTCAAAAGTTGCACAGACTAATAATGCAAGAATAAGACCAGGGACTCCCCTCCCAGGGCGGCAGAGAGTTAACGGCTGACAGGCAGTTAAAGGTGTGCTGTGGGCTAGTCCAAAGGAACATGGACCCAACAAATACTGAGTGACTACCACATGCTGGGCACACTGTGTTGGGACCTAGAGAACAAGAAGCATGGCACATGTGGAATAACCCATCCCAAGTACCGTAAAAGTGGTGGTTCTTGATGGTCTATCAACTAGAAGTTTCTAATAAAGCAACCCTGTGCTCTCCAGAAGGCAGTGGCATTTAGTGCTGCCAGTGACACCCTAGAGGCATTAAAAGATATAGGGACACCTTCTGAAGCACCAACCAGAAGGATAGCAAGAGACTGCAGATCAGGGATGTCTGGGACCTGACCTATGCCCAGCAAATTCTAAAATTCCAAACTCTGTTCAACTAAAACCAAACAAACAAAAAGATGAAAACCCACAATGATTCAAAAGCTCAACAATTGACAACCTCCAAATGTAAGTGTTCTCTTGGGTTTTCCTGCTGCCATACAGATTTGTATATACGTATACCACCTATGTTCCCACTATCACTATTTAAGCTCTAACCAATAAAGTTTTATTGGACCACAGTCACACCATTAGATTGCATATTGTCTATGTCTGCTTTTGCATTATAATGGCAGAGTTGACTAGCTGTGACAGAGACAGTATGATCCAGTATGACCCACAAGCCTAAAGTACTTACTCTCTGGCTCATTACAGAGGTTTCCTGACCCCTAGTTCTAGGCACCTCTTAACCACCAAATAAATGACTGAGATCTATCTCGACTCCTGCTTCCCCTGAAGAACAGCTTGTGGTGGCGGAGATGGTCAGTTACAACTCACCAGCCCACCCCTGTCTGCTGTAGCATAACCTCCATCATCTGCAGAGGGTCATCTCATCACAACCTGTGGGCTCCACCAAACCATTCTTCAATGATCATAAATGGTATGGTTTTCAGAAAAGAATGATCACTGAAAATAAGTCTGAGAGCAATGCTCCTGTTTAGATACTTCCAGTGATTAAATTATGTCCCCAGTATATTCAGAGTAGTTGATTGTATTCTAGCCTCTGACAATTGCTCATTCTTGATTGTACATACGGCAATGACTTGACTAAACTAGAGTTATGTTTCATATGTGGGGTTTTACTGAGAATAAGCCCTTCCATATAAATAAATTTCCCAGGTAACTGTAACTTGCTCCTAAGCAGAAACATACTTTAAAGATTTGGATGGTTAAGATGGAAATCTTAAAAATAAAAGCAAAACCAAAATTAAAAAAAAAGATATTATAGCCATTCCTGTCTTAAGTACAATTATTATCCATTTCTTTGGAATGAGATAGAGTCATTACTAGGAACATCAGTTACTGGAGTGTGTTAGGTAATGATGTCCTCAGGGGTACAGAGATTCACTGGGCTCTCGGCCTCACACCAGCTGGTCTGTTCAGACTATTATAATTGTAATTCCAGCATCTCCTTTGTATGGTTCTTTGTCTTCCTCCTCCATTCCTGGCTACTGTCATTTCTGTGTCTCTAGTTACCAGTCCTCCCAACATACTTTCTATTTACTACTGCTAATTGGCTGTTGGCTAGAAAAGCAAATAAAACTAAATCTTGTTAGATTGGTTTATAAAAGAAGGGTACTCATTTTAGGTTATAGGTCTTTAGGGAAGACTTGCTCTGCTCTCCCACCATACAGCTCTTGAGGGCTGCAAGCCCTGTCTTTTCATTAGCCCAGTGCCTGGCACGTAGTAGTCACTTACTTCATGTGTTCATTACACGAATGCATGAGTAAAAGGCATGAGCTTTGTGAACCCAGGCTCACCTCTTGGAGGACCTGTCTGCTTACTTTCAGTGGCCATATTCTAGATGGTGAAGGGTGCACCAGATAGGACCAGGAAGAAGGTGGACTGGGACTCTTACTCAAGTAATCAGAATGTTCTATCCTCGAACAATGAGGGACCAAAGAGTGTACAGATTTTCCCATTGCCCCTCACTGGTGAGTGAGAGCCTGTGATCTGGGAAAGGACTCAGCCAAGGGTGCACCTGGCAGAGCTAGACACTAAGTGTTGAACTGAAGAGCACGTTTCAATCCACACTTTAGAGTTTCAAAATATCCCAATCAAAACCAAGCGAGGCATACTACTATAAAAAGTTTACTTGGCCCCCAGCCCCACCAAAACAATGGAAGTAGCTTTCCAATAAGGATTTGTTCGTTAAATTAGCCAAACGAAAATCTGAGAAATATGGGGAAAAACCCACGCTGAAACGAACTGTAGACATTTCCTTCACTCTGTCCCTAACAACAATACTGACAATACTGGCAACAATACTGGCAAATACTGACCTCTTTTCCTTTTCTATTTTGAATTAGGGAAACTCCAATCCTTGGGGTTGAGCAGTGACTCTTTGCCAAGGACCCACTCCCCACTCGAGTCCTTGCTTGAGAGGAGTTGGGGCAGAACTGGTTGCTTGGGCGTCTGGCGCAGGTACACGAGGAGGCTGGTGGGTCCCAGAACCCTCAGTACCACCCCTGCCGGACACCTCATACCCTCCTCCAGCCCCCCCCGCCCCGGCACCCCATTCCCTTGCCCTATTTGCTCTTGAAGACTTCTCTCTTCAATTCAACTCAACTCAAAGACATTCATGGAGCAGCCACTAAATGCAAGGAACTGTGCAGGGGGCTCACACATAAGGGATGATGAGTACAATAATGTGTCTGTGCTGCCCTGTTCAGCCCTGCCATTCCCCTCTCCCAGCTCCCAGTCTGGTAAGACTAATCTTATTTGCTTTTTTCTACTAACCTGCAAGTCCCATTTTGTTTAGTTTTGTAGCTTGGTATCTGACATGAGTATGTGCTCAACTCAATAGTTCTTGAGTGAATGGATACATAAACCAGACAGACACACTCCACAATAATCCTAACACATAGGTGACTAATGAACAGCACAACAGAGGGGCAGTACCCCAAACAAACAAAACCCCCCACAAAACCAGAAGTGAGATAAATAGACTTTTTCATGGCAAGGACTTCTGAAGGGGCGGGATCTGAGCAGGGCATGGAGCCAGGTGAAGTGTATTGCTTAGATAAGGGCAAGGGGGTGGGTAGACCTGCCAGGGCCAGTGGTGGCGCTGGTGGGGGCTGGATGTCCAGGGCTGTGTGCATGCACATGAGTGTGTACATATGCGGGCTTTGTTGGGAATGGGGTGGGGGAGGATAACTGGAAATGAAACTTTAAAGGTAGGGAGAAGGTTATGTTTTACAAGGCCTCAAATTTCATGATGTGTTGGGACTTCACCCTGGAAGTAATGGTGAGCAACTATAGTTTCTGAGGAAAGTTGTGAGAGGACCATATTCATGCTACAGTAAGGCCACTCTGGCAGTGACAGGCAAGACAGACAAGAGGACTCAGTCCAGAGGCCAAGGAGCCCAGGGAGGCACTAAGGCAACAGGCCTGAGTCCCAGTTTGGTGGAACTGAGGTTTTTCTTCCTCTAAGTAGCTACCAGTTTTCCAAAGAAAGATCGAGAACAACGATCATTTTGCAATTTTAATTATAGTACTCTACATTGTACTTTTTTGGTCAAAGGTTTTGTAGCATTAAAAAGAGTTGGCTTTTCCATATGTTAGTAATCCATGTCCAAAGTAATTATTCTTTCCACTTGACAGAGGAATGCACTGAGGCCCAGAAAGATGAAGGGACTAAGCCCTGGGGCTAAGGAAGTCATTGGAGAAAAAGATTCACAGCATCAGAGAAGTTCTGGAGCTCCCTAGAGCTAGAGATCCTGATTAGAAAGATGCAGTGTCAGAATGACAATCTGAGCTCTATGGGGGGCAGTATGTCCTGTCATAAGTCTAAGGAAATCATCTACTCTTCCTTCTTAGAGTTTCAGAAGCCAAAACCAAGAAATGACTGAAATTAGAGCTAATTTTCTAAAAAAACCCCACTGCTTCTGGTCCAGAGAATTGCCTCCAGATCCATCTATGGATAACAGACATGCTTCACGATGCCTGACCACAAGTGGGTCCTTCCACTAACCCAGACAGCCAGACACAAATGTATTTAGTGAAATGCAGTCTGGGGTCCTATGAGCCCAAGGGGCTGGGGTGCTGGGTCGCCTTTGGGGTATACCACTTATGACTCAATTCCCAAGCTCCTATCCACGGCTTGGCAACTCAAAGGGTTTGAAAATGGTGATGCTAATGCCAAGCTCACAGGCCCCAAGGCTGGATGCCTGGCCAAATGTTGACTATTAGTGATGGGCAGAATCCAGCTATAGTGTCTGTAGTTAATTATCATTTGTTGAATAGGGGGCAAATACTTATAAATCCATCACCTGGCCTAAGAAAACTGACCCAAAGCCTATACTTTATGAACAGGGGCTAAAGGCATGACCAGCACATAAAACATAAAAGTTCTGCACTGGATGTATCAGAGTGCCAAAACTCCACTGTTCTCAATTCAACGAGTGTCCCAAGAACACCAGATCCTCTCAGACTGCCAACAAGTTCTACTTCACCTGCTTTCATGAGACAAGATCCTATACTGAAGTCATGGAATAGTTCAGCTAGATCTAAAACCAAATCCTTAAAGGCATCTCAAAGTACCTTGTGAAGATTATTTTCCTAAACCACACCCACCCACATCCTCACATCCACACATGCATTCATGCACAGCATACAGCAGATCTTGGGACTGTATAGATTAAAGTAGCATTTACAAAGGACAATGAACCCAGACACTAAGGCTTGTAGGAAATATCTGTACACAGACTGGTTTAACAAACTCAAAATCAGTTGCAATTATTTTCTCTTGGCTTAGAGATAAGGTTTATCCAAATATATATATAAAAAAAATTAAAGGATTAAACCTTCTAGGTCCCTACTAGTAAGAACTATATCGTTGAAACTCAATTTCATCAACTCCTTAGCAGATGTCACAAACATCAGCAAGGTAGTAGAAACTCATAAATAGGAAGCTTTTAACTTAGGTCAAAATTTGTTTCAGGTGACTATTTAAAATTTTAATAAATCTAGTATTATGCTGGACTGCTATTGGGGACTGGGCTGGCATCCTCTTGAACTTGTCCTAAACATTGAATTCTCACCTAACCTAATTTTTAGCACAGTTAAATAACTCAGTCTACCCTTAAACTATCACTTAAAAGGTCCACTGAAAGAAGGTAACATCTTTTCTGATATTTCCATCATAATTCTCAACTGAAATTCATCTTAATGAGTATATCAATACCTTCTATGGTTTAAATCCTACTGTCTTAAGAATATGGTGTTTGCCTCTTTTAGAACTTCTCACATTTTAGAGTGATAGACTTCAAGTCTAAAAGTATTCACAAGCCAGCCCTGCAACTTCAAAGATGAATAAATGGTCCATGCCCTAGAAGCTTTAGAAATGAATCTGATCAAGCAGAAAATTAATTTATCTGGGCTACAATTTTCTTAATTTAATTTGTGTAAGGATTTAAAAGGATTGTAAATTTTATACCCATTTTTAGATGAAACTCAGAAAAACAAAGAATGAATCATGAATCACTATGTTTGAAATATTTCATGAAAAACTAGAATGAGTCACTAAACTTTTTCCAAAAGGTAAGGGTGTGCCTTTCCAAAGGAAAGGTGACTTATCTTCTACAACACACCCTGCCAGCTAAGGAAGGTGTCCAGACAGGCAGAGCACCCTGGCCTGTTCCATGAGATCTTTACCAACAAGTCTACATTGTTTCTGCCTCTACAGGAGGGTCTGTCTCCCTCTGCCTGTCTCTTGCTTCTGTCATACTCAACCTTCAATAAAAAAATTAAAAAAAGAAAAAAAGTAAAATATTGCACCCCCAAACCAAACCCTATACACACCAAAGTACACTGAAGGAACCAGGAAGTGGTCAGTAAGGTAAATTTACCTTCTTGCCTCATAACTGGCCACCTTCTTATAAAACCCACTCATGCACACACTCAAACTCCTAACAATGGGTCTCCATTTCAGAAAAAAGTTTAGGATTTTAGCTGATAGAGCCAAAAGTTCCTCCACTTATTAAAACTGACTATTGTACTACAACTGGCTAGTTTACCATCTCCTGGCTTTCTAGATCTATTAAAAAAATACACACTCAAATATGTGATGACATAATATAGGTCACAAATGTTGGGGATCAGTAGAAACTACTCGTTTGAGTAACACATTCTACTTTCCCTTTTTATGGGTATGCTTTATCATATGTTGCAACAATGAGAAAAATTAATGAGACAACTTGAAAACAAGACCACACATAAGATTAACTGGTAAAAAAAATCACTACTTGGGGCTGGGTAGCTTAGCGGTTAAGTGTGCACGCTCCACTACAGCAGCCCGAGGGTTCGCAGGTTCGCATCCTGGGTGCGCACTGACGCACCGCTTGTCAAGCCATGCTGTGGTGGCGTCCCATATAAAGTAGAGGAAGATGGCATGGATGTTAGCCCAGGGCCAGCCTTCCTCGGCAAAAAGAAGAGGATTGGTATGGATGTTATCTCAGGGCTGATCTTCCTCGCGGAAAAAAAAAAAGAGAGAAAGAAAATGAAACCCTAAGTAAATAGAACAAAAGAGATAGAAATCAATAAAAATAGAAAGCAAAAAAAACAAAAGAGAAAAATCAAAAAAAAAAAAAAAAAGGGGGGCCAGCCCCGTGGCTTAGCGGTTAAGTGCGTGCGCTCTGCTGCTGGCGGCCTGGGTTCGAGTCCCTGGCGCGCACCGACGCACCGCTTCTCCCGCCATGCTGGGGCCGCGTCCCACATGCAGCAACTAGAAGGATGTGCAGCTATGACATACAACTATCTACTTGGGCTTTGGGGAAAAAATAAATAAAATTATAAAAAAAAAAATCACTACTTGAGTCAGAATTTTAAAGCTGGAAGAAACCTTAAAGACCATCTAATAGATTTTAGTCAAACTCCTCTGTTTTACAGATGAGGAAATCAAAGCCCACTTGAGATTGTGTCTAAAACATATGTTTTAGACAAAACATATGGTGCTGTCTACAGGAATAGAGATGGGCACTGACATTAACTGAATGCCTGTTATGATTGAGGACTTATATAAAGTAGTTCGTTTTAATTCTTACAATAACCCGGCACAGTAGCTTTTATTATTCATTGTATAGACGGAAAGAGGCACAGAGGTTTGGGTAATATTCCCAAAGTCATATAAAGTGAGGGAGTGGTAAAGCCAGGATTCAAAGCCAGCTCTGCTTGCCACCAGAGACCCCATTTAGAGCACAGCACATGGCTTTTTTTTTCTTTTGCAAGAGGGGGATGGGAGGAATAGCCAAGCAGGAAACACAAGTTCTGCTTCCTCCTCCCTCACACACATTTGATGGACCTGAGAAGTCACTTCAACTCAGCTTTAACGTCTTCATCTCTGAAGTGAGCAGGAAGGGCTAGATCTCTAAGCTCTGCGACTCTTTTTAAAAACCCAAGAAATGGACCCTAAGCAGACTTTCCTTCCACTAGCTCCTGGGAGCCTATAATACCCATTCTTTTTTTAAAAAGAGCATTCTTTCTTCTGTGAGTCATTTTACTTGTGGTGGCTGTCTCTTTAATGGAGCATGACACCCACTAGCATGACACCTCACACACTTGGCCATCGAAAACACAGCCTTTCTGCAAGACACTCTAGGGCCTAGCTGACCTCTTCCAAACTCTAGTCCAGCCTGTCCTACACATGCGTGAAGAAATGAAGCTCAAAGAGTCAGCTGATCTTCCATAAAATGTTTAGGGAGTTGGCTAACTTCCTTTCTAGGTCTAACGGATGGTAACTACTAGTTGCTTATGCTGCCATCTTCCTGCATTAACTCCTCTTTCCAGAAAGTCTGCAACCCAGCAGGAAAATCTTTATAAAGGCAACAATATATTACTGATCTAGCTACTCAATTACTATTTGTCAATGAGTGTGATACTACTCTCATAGTATCTGGAACCCTTTGTAACCAGGTGCACGACCTCATTTGGCACTGAACTGCCTTCTGGTCTCTGTCAGGGCAGGTTCCAAGATGGGCATATTGACTGCGGTTGCCACAGTGTGGGGCATGCTGATTGTACAGGGCGGCCTTGACCCTTACTGAGTGTCTACTACTTGCCAGGCACTAGGCTGTACGCTCACTTTCTCACCCTCTTTTTGAGATGAGGAAACTGAGGCAAGGAGAGATTTGCCTAAATTCATATTTCTAGCAAGCAGTGGAGACAGGATACACTCCTAAGCCTGCTCTCATTACAGAGCCTACTTTGAACTACTCACTACAACCATTCATTTTGCCCAATATCTAGAATACAAAAAGGGGAGGGGTGCTGATGTTTCCACGAGTGACCTGGGTTACTTACAGTTTGACTCTCTTGCCCACACATGGTTATGCAGAGATAGTGGGTGGGCCACAAGCAGTGGTGTTCAGAGGCCACAGGCCTGAACTTAAGCATTTTATACTCTAAAGTGGGGCCTTGGCTGAACACCAGCCAACATTTAGAAGACTGATCCTGCCTTAACCCAGGAAGCAGGAGGGCCATGAAGCTTCAGTCAGGAGAGTCACCTTAAAATTGAGTCCCTAAAATCTGCTTCTGCTGGGAAACACTTCCTGTGGCACCAAATTCTAGCAGGCTGCTTTTTCTGAGAGAAAGCCCACCCACACTAGGCAGAGACCAACCAGCAAAGGTTGCCACCTGAGGGTGTTGAAAATGGCATCTGGCCCCACATTGTGCCATGTGCAGACATGTAGCCACTGTGACATCACCCAGCTAAGAGGCTGGCTTTTTTAGAGACTAAAAGCAAAAGGGCTTGGAGGGCTCGGAAAGAGCCAGGGAAGAGGAGAGAACAACTATCGCAACTGCACCAGGCTTCAAGAATGGGAGCCACTTAGCTTGCAGGTCTCTGCTGATCCCACTTATCCTAGGCACTATAAGTGGCAATGCAAGAGCACAGCTTTGGGAGGAACGTGGCTGTAGTGTGCTCTACGAGTCCAAAGCCCCTGCCTACCAGGTGACGGGCTCTCTGGCACCTGTTAGAGGGCTTTGGAGATAGACGGGAGGCTAGCACTAAATGGAATGAAGACTGGGCCTGGAGTTAAGAGGCCAGAATTCCACTTCCAGTCCTGCCGCTCGCCAACCTCATAATTTCCGGACAGACAGTTACCCTCCCTGAGCCTCAGTGTCCTCATCTATCAAACAAGAGGGAAGACTGAGCTAACTGCTAACATCCCTCGCAGGGCTGAGATTCTGAATCCTCTGTTCTCAGGAACAAATTAAACATTTCCTTTGTTAATTTTTTGGATTTTATATTTTAACCAAAAGCATCCCTTAACTTCTTTTTCCCATTCTTTGTTAATATTCAAAAAGAAACCCACCACTTAGCAATTTTCCTGAGCATGCTCAGTTTCTTCAGTCAAGTATGGCATGTAATTACCATTTCCTTTCATTCATTCATTTAATTGTTTTCAGAGAGGAAAAAGCACTATCAAAATACATCAAATATTACGAAGTGGTAAAAGAGGGAAGTCTTAAAATTCAAAGTTAAACATGACCGTTTTTCAATGTTTAAATATTTATATATCCAGGATCTATTCTGAATTTTACAACCTGGTAAGATATGTATTTTAGGGTAAATTGAGGCTTAGAGAGGTTAACTGACTTGCTCAAAGTCACCAAGCAAGTTAGCGACAAAGCCCAGATCTTTGGAATAGACACCCAATAGTCTTTCCACCATAGATCATTATCTTCCTAACCAACCTGCCTTTCTGAATTCTCTGCTACTCTTTCTTGGTTTAGCAATGCACACTTTGTACATAACAAAGTTAAAACTAATTGCAACAGAACTGTGGCCAGAACTATACTTGTCCCACTAGGCTCATTTTCCTAAGGTGAAAAACTGATCCTACCCAAAGGCATTCCATCTCCACTGACCCTGAAGAGGAGACACTCACGTCTTAGGTAGCTAAGAAAATCCAAATCTCTCCATACCAGGAAAGTTACAGTTTGGAGGAACCATGAAAAGATGGAGTTTGCCTGATATTTCCTGGCATTTCCTGGATGAAAGACTGAATTAGGTGTGACATGCAACGGAGGCCTTCTCACCTTCAGTCGAGAGCCAGGAATGACCTAGCCGTTTGCCTCTGGAATCTGCTTCTGAACAGGAAGGTAAATGATTAAAAAATGCAAAAACAGGAAGAAACTAGAGGCAGCATGGCATTAGCCTCTCCCCCTGCCCCCAACAGGTCAATATCAAGACACTACCCCTCCATTTCTGCTTCACACTCTGTTACTTTCTATGGCTATCAGGGTGTGTATGTGTGTTTAAATACTTCCAGATTTGCTAATGAGGATATGTGATCTCCTTTTCTTACACACGCCCTAATGAGACACAGGAAGCACCCCGCCACTCTTTGAAAATGAAACACATATGAAGACCCTTCCTCTGAGTGGGAATAAGCTTACCCATGTATTTCTATCAATTTTTCTATCACTGTAATCCCAAATTATAATTTCTAGAACAGCAAGACAGACACAGACCTGCTGGCCAGACTATCACAGGTTTTTTAATATCCAATATTCTTTAAGACAAGGCAGACAGGACAAATGCAAAGTGTTTAAAGGAAACAGATCTATAGGGAAAACAGTAGCTCACTTTTGCTTTTCTGGGGTGCTGGGCTAATCGTGAAAATGCAAAGGAAAAGACCTAAAACTTGGCTACCTCTATTTAAGACTTGGAATAAAATGTTCCCCTGCTGGGCTTTTAAGAGCTCTCTGCAACTTCAGCACCTTGGACTCAGCACTGCCCTGAAGCTCCTCTGTAACCGGTTTTTACTGCCTTAATTAACCAAGGCTAGGTGGGAAAGATTTACTCCATCTCTGTAACGTTATTGTTGCTTGCTAGTGGCTAGCAGCAGCTCTTTACCTCTTGCCCTTGATACCTGGCTTGCACAATTAGCACCTTATTATAGGCTGGCCTCTGAGGCTAATTACCATGCGCCTCAATTGAGCACTTTATTTTATTATCTTGTTCATGCACTAGTTCAAGTGCCTGGGCTGGCCAGCTATAATAAATCCTAAACTCCTTTTAGGTAGGTGTGTCTTTTCAGTTTTTTATCTCTTCAGACCCACGAGAACACTAGCGACTCACAGGTATGTAAACAAATACAGTACTTCCTGATTGTTTGAAGAGCTTCTAGATGTCTATTCTGGGAGTAAGGCACATGGTTGGAATCTGGGTCTCCATGCCTATGTCAACCTTCCGTACCAGACCCATCGGCCTTCTCTGCTGTTGAGGGCTCTCCTTTGCTACTTGGAGTTAAGCTCTAGTTGGCCTGTATGTAACCTCTCCTCTTATCTAAAAGGGTTGGCTGAAACAGATATAGGAACTTCACAACAGCACCATAGTCTACATTTCTCTACAAAAACGATTCAAGGGATGTGAGTTTATGCTTGAACAGACTCCTTGTTTTTGGAATTAAAACTAATAGGGCAGTTACCAATTCCATAACCAACACAGGCCTCTTTCACTAAATACTCTGGTGAATGAAATGGAGCCCCGGGCGAAAGACTGCATAAGCGAATGGTTAGGAGTGCAAGTATGGGAGCTAGATTGCCTGGTCTCAAATCCCGGCTCTGCCACTTACCCGTAATGTGACCTGTGACTTTGGTGAAGACAATTAACCTCCATGTACCTCAGTTTCCCTATCTGTAAAATAGGGATAACAGTACCTGCTTCATAGGGCTATGGCAAGGACTGAATCAGTTAGTCTCTATAAAGTGCTTTAGAACAGTGCCTGGCACATAATAACTATGTAAGTTACTGTTAAATGAAAGTACTAGAGTACAGAGATTTAGAATAGACAGACCTACAAAACAGTATGCCCCCAAAAGAATCTGACCTGACGGAAAAACTGGTTTAACAGAATAACGTGCCATCCTTGGCTTCTTGATTTTCTGGCTATCATAAACTCTTTGAATTGCTTCACTAAACCAAAAAAGAACTCTGATTTTATGGGTTTAAAAAATGTCTAATGCATTATCACAACAAACGTGATAAAAATGTTCTGGAAGCATTGAAGTAGTGAAGGTGTAATTGTTTTTGGAGAGAATTTAAAATGAACATTCTACTGTTTACGCCTCTCATCCTATTTAGCCTAACATGTCAGACATCATTCATAACATTATTTAGCAAATACTGCCCACTCCTCTCTAGCAAGGAACTTTTAGTCAGTTGTCAGGAAAACAGTTTAAATATATATTCTCTACTTTTTTGCGTGTGTGTGAGGAAGATCAGCCCTGTCTGCCAATCTTCCTCTTTTTCTGCTGAGGAAGACTGGCCCTGGGCTAACATCCGTGCCCATCTTCCTCCACTTTATATGGGACGCTGCCACAGCATGGCTTGCCACGCGGTGCGGGGGTGTGCGCCCGGGATCCGAGCCGGCGAACCCCGGGCCGCCGCAGCGGAGCACGCGCACTTACCGGCTTGTGCCACCGGGCCGGCCCCTATATTCTCTATTTTTAAAGATGTATTAAAAGATTTTTATGCAAAGATGATTACATGGTATCCAAACTCAGACTTTTCTTCCCATGTCTTTTCTGATCTGTCCATTTGCTGCCACTTTTTAAAGCCTCAATCCCCTTATATATCCTAGCTACTAAAATTCCACATCCAAAGATCTCTCCTTTCTGAGCAATCTCGAGCACAAAATACCATTTCTAACATCAGCAGTCCCTTGTTATCTCATCACAGAGTTCCTCACATAGAACCCAGGCATCCAACCACATATGGCATCTATGTGCCACAACAGGTGGGGCACCTGTGCTTTCATTAGGGAGGAAACCCTTCTGGCTTCACCCCTCCCAGTTTCCCTGGAGAGCAAAGTCCAACCCCGCAACATGTCTTCCCCTGTAGGTGCACCTGTAGACAACTACGTAGTAGAGTAGACATAAGAAACAACTAATGTCCAGTCTACTGAGAAGAGATCATCTATTTTGGGGCTCACCAGTTTAGTGCTTAAGAATGTGGGCAGGTACCTCCTCTCTGTACCCTCCTCTGACCCACTTCCCTACCCCACTGTGCTCAGTGATGCTACCACCATAGCTCTTAACCACCACGTTCTGTGGTTATGTTGGCCCTGGAACCTTCCCCTCTGCCTGGGGAGCTTCTCTGAGCAGAAGTTGTGTTTTACTTGTCTTATGTGTTCCAAAGCTAGCACAAAGCCCATCCATAGCAAGCTCCCAATAGTTATCTGTGAAACTACTGAAGCTACTACCGATAAAAACCCAACATTGTTTGGATTATCAAGCCATCAAGGGTTACTTCCACTTTTGAGAACAGGGAGGTTCCTCAAAAATGGGACATTTGGAAAAGTCATCAGATCATCTCTTTCTTCAATCACTTGGGGTTAAATTTCCCCCATTTATCCACATGGCCCCTTTAAAATGTGCATCGTACCTTGTCTGCCCTGCTGTAATGGGCTCCTTCAGTGACCCCATATTCACCTTGCAGGCATCCTTTCCGGATATCCAAGGCCCATACTCCTACCCGGCCATGGCCGGGGCTGGCCTTTTTTCGGGCAGCTGTTCACAGCTCCCAACGACCACCCCATCAAGCCAGGACTTCTAGCCATCGCTATGCCCC